ACCTCTTAAAACTCCTCGTCTGATATTCTTTCAAGCGAATTTTACCACGACATCAAAAGAAAATATATAATATGTTTGACAGGCTACTGCCCCTTGATCGAACGCCAAAACGAGAATGAACAAAAATGGCTGTTCGTCAGCGTCATCGCGTCGGTTCGTCGCGCTTCGTCTAGGTGGTGAGTCTCGCCCGAGTTACAAAAGATCCACGAATGGTAATCGATGCGCCACAGACGGTAAGTTTGTTACTTATCGACGGTCGAAAAGAAAGTTTAATAGATCACCGATAAGGGCGCTGCACAATAACATGTATAGGAACAACTGTGTTGTTACCCATAAGCGTAGCTTGGAAGCCACTAGTCGTTTCATCCCGGTCCTTACTACTGGACTCATCAGTAAGGCTACGGAGTGGGAAACCTGACTTATACGTCCAGGGAGAAGTAAGAGTTGGATCTTGTATATATGCTACACGCCAGGCAACATCTACACTTGTAAGAGAGTACATGGGTATCGACCAATAGCAGAGACATCCATTGGTCAACCCCCACACATGTGTCGAAAGATGGCGACGACCATCAATTACCACCAAATTAAATGTGATTCCCGCTCTGGCGTTAATTTGACGTTAAAATAATAATATTTATTTATTATGAACGCAGGCAATAAAATGCCGCGTTACTATATATATATATATAATTTTATGCATTAAAATATTTTAAAGCGATAAATTACACGATTGTAAAGAAAGAATTAAATTTCTCCAAAAGGGCTCGACAAATGATTTTGATTTTTGCTCGAAATATTTTCATTTTTGTTCTAGAATAAAATCCTGAAAAAAATCTTGGTTGTTTTGATCTTTTATAATAATTTATTTAAGCTCACCGTGAGTAGTATTATGTGATTTTTAATTAAAAAATTATTAATTTTTTAAAAACTACCACCTGTATAAAGTTTCTATTTTAATTACTTCAAACATCATTATAAAAGATTTTGTATGAGCATTATAATTTCTCACAATATTGTCTATAGTTTTCAAAACTTCTTCATCCAAATTTTAGTTACATTTTAATCTATAACGGATTTCTTCTTCAGGGTCATTAATAAATAATTGACCAAAACATGGTCCTGCAGTAACTATAATACTTAAATCTTTATCACTCAGATTGACAATGCCTTATTTGTTTGCCACAATTGTGGTTCGTCAATTTTAAAACTCGCACTGAAATATGTAGGTCAAATGACAGTTTTGATACGTATCGTTCAAGACATATGACAGTTTTGATACATGTCATGTAGGTCATATGACTGTTTTGATACATGTCATGTAGATCATATGACAGTTCTGTTACATGTTATTTTGGCCAAATGACATGTATGTCTTATGCATTTCAGCTAAATTACTTTTGGGTTGTCTCTTCATTGACCTTAACTATAACTACAACTTGTTTGTTTCTCTTTAGCATCGTTAATTAAATTTTGATTTTCTCCTGCAATGTTCTTGATTTGATTCTCTATCCTTTCTATGACTTCTGTCTCTATGATTTGTAAATTGAAATTTTGATCTCTAAAGTTGTTTTAGTAACTCTACTTTACATTGCTTCTATATCTCCTATTGCGATTACAAGAGATTTTGTGAATTCTTCATTGATGTTTTTCTTGCTGTGTAGTACTTATTTGTAAAATTCCTTAAAATTTTATTTGACGAATGGTTTTAATTTCCGTGTCCGTAATATTGTAAAACTATATAGCGAATATTGCTTGAAAATATGCAGACAATATTGTTGCAACATTGATTATATCTGCCCTCAGGCAATACTCCAAAGCAATATTTAAGTAGCACCACTAATTATATCCGCCTTGAGTCGCAATATTCAAGCAATAATATTGTGCTTAATATTCGCATAATAAAACTATTTTAACCTTATGGCAACCAATATCGTCTTATTATTACAATCAATATCGACAGACTTAGGGCGTTTTGAGGTTCGTGCTGATAATTATGTTGTGAGGATGAAGAGGTTCTCAATCGCCTTTTCACTTTTGCATCTCAATTGCACATGCAAATGATGCTTTAAATACAAGACTAACCTAACTGTTATTTTTTAATCTTTGAGTCACTGATGATATAATTATAAGCACTTACTTAGTGCATAAATTACTACTTTATTCAAAACAAAACACACACTATTAATGTTACAACAATATTGACTCAATATTGCGACGCAATATTAGAAATATTGTCGTGTAATATTGTTGCAATGTTGTGCACATATTTGAATATCCTTTTGTCAGAGAATAATAATTAATTCTATACTCTGTTCTAAGAGAGATCATTTTTTTAGTCAAAAGTTTTTAAAAATTGTGGCCTTTTTATGGAACTTACATTTAGTATTAGAGAATGTACTTCTATTTCTTAATTAGCTGCATTTTTTAATAATAAAATTGTCCGAGCCGATATTTAAGTCCTACTTCGAATATTTATCTGTAGGGTCTAGTAAGTTTTAGTGATTGTAATGTATGTGGTAACTTTAATGCATTTAGACCCTACTTCGACATTAAAAAACAGCATAAATTTCTCTTTTTTTATAAAAAGGCGTAAAATTGGATCTACAGTTATCCATTAAGATCTTAGGAGATTTTTCCAAATTGTAGAGTTTAGGAATGATAAAATAAAATACGCAACGTGTAATACTATCAATAACTTTTAATAACTATCGACCCAATTTTACGCCTTTTTATGAACGAAAGAGAGATTTTCGATGGTTTTTGGATTCAAAATAAGGCCTCAATGGATTAAAGTTAAAACCTTCTTTAAGGGGAGATTTATTTATTTCTGTTAAATCACATAAAATGATGATTCCATAATTTTAGTATCTTTCTCAACACTCTTCATTTATACATTAAAACAGTTTTCACGTTCTTAGGGTGCAGTCCCATGACGTCGAGAATGCAGAATGCAAAGCCGAAAACCATGAGTACAAAAGAGATGAAAAGATGTCGCTATTCTTTTCACTCTCATGATTTTCAACTTTGCATTCTGCATTCGCGCCGTCATGGGACTGTACCCTTATTCAGTATTATTTTTATTTTATTGAATTTAAAGCCAACAAATGTCACGGTTTGGTGACATTCTCTCTCTCACCGTGCGACCAAACGCGTATAGTCGATTTTACGTGTTTGTAAATGTAGTAGTGAGGCCGCGTTGCCAACTTGACATACATGTGAGAATGTAACCTCAAAAAACATATGGCAATAGCTCCGACGATATTCAATTTTAAATTCGCCGCGCTTATTTGAATGATACGGCAACACCGCACTCATTTATATGGGTGAGGGATTCTCTCACCTGCGACCAACCGCGTTACAAAAAAAGATGCGACTGACGGAGGGTTAAGAACACGGAATAATTAGTCTGAAGTATTTCCATGGTCTAGAACTGATATAAATTGAGTAGCAACATACAATAACTCACCGAGCGAGCGAAGACACGCGTTTATTCCGGTCGGGTAGGAGTAAACGGCTCAGATGCACTCACTGCTACTTGACTGGCAATAGATTACTTGAAAATGATATTTTAGAAGTCAAAGAAGGATCTATGTATGTAGCCGGTATCGCTGATTGAGTAAGAATCACTTTTTTGTTTAATTTCTATTTAAAAAACTTTAAACGCGTTTTTCTCAAAAGTGCATATTTTCAACTTTGTCACACTCTCATTTTAAAACTATTCAACCAATTAACTTCTAATTTAGACAGTATGTTCCTTGCATGTGTAGTTTTCGTGTAAACTTGGATTTTTGAAATCCATTAATATTTTTAAAAGTTATAAACAATTAAAGTTGAAAAATAGTTGTCAAAAATTGAAAAAAGTCTGCCAATCGGTTTTTTTTCAATGAATATTTCTCATTCTATTTTACACAATAGCCAAAATAGTATAGATTAAGAAAAATTTTGTTTTTTTAATTTTAGATTAACTGTTCCAGAGAAAAAGTGTGACAAACTTTTAAAATGTACCACTTTCGTCCGCCATTTTTTATTAGATTGTTTAAACAAAACAAGGAGGGGTCCTTTATGTTTATTTCATAAACATTTTGCTTCCGCATTGTGTAAAGCAAAAAATTTGCATCCTCGTGGAGGAAGCTATGAATTTCTCTAATCAATTGATTGATTTAAAACATTTCGAGTTAAAAACTGATTTAAATGAATTAAATTTTTTGAAAAATTAAGAAAATTTTAATTCATTTTGGGTGTAACATATACTTTATATATACAAATCGATTCATTTCAATGCAAGGAATTCAATTCTTTTATGTGTTAACTTGAATTTAAAAAAACACTAAATTTTTTAGCTAAAACGAATTTTTGATTTTTTAACTTTCATTAATTCTTTAAATTTCAATCAAATCTATACTTTATATATATACCAATCCATTCGTCTTGATGTAAGGAAGACGATTATATTATATATTACCTTAAATTTTTCTATTTAAAAAATTTTTTAATTAGAAAAAATTTTTTGAAAAAAGACGATACAATTTTTTTTAAGGGTATTTTTAAAAATCCTCTCGTCATTTTTTAGAGATTAATGTGATAAATAAGCCTACTAAATTTTATACAAATACATTAAAACCTGTTAAAGGTATCGTGTTTACAAAAACGATCAACACACATACATACATCCGGACAATTGAACAGGATCTCGTATAACATGTTTCTATATAGAGAAAAATTTGTTTTCACCATGTTTAAAAATTTGATAAACGAAAGGACTACAAAGCTTCCTCCACGAGGAAGCAAAAAGAAACAAAAACTGTTTTCGACTCTTTAAAATGTATATTTTATCATAAAAAATTGTAACTAATAAATATTTTTTTACTATAAAAAAAATCTTTGAAAAAAACCTCAAAATCACAGTAATCTCCCCTTAAAACTGCTAAAACTTAATAGGCCCTAAACATTCAGGTTCAAAATATAGCTTAAATTTTGACCCGAGTTTTTATCAATAGGTTGTATGACATTTGTATGTAATGAACAAGGAATCGTTTTCACTGGCGACACACTTTTAATTCGAGGATGTGGAAGAACTGATTTTCAGGTTTGTAATACGAATATAAATTATACTATATTTAAAACTAAAGTTTTTGAATTTCATAGTATTAAAAATGTTTATAAGTTTACGTCATATCATTCAAAAAAATTCTTTAAAAATTCATTTGATAAAATTATTTATTTTCTCGACGTTTCGATGAAAGCCACTACTTTTTTAAGAGATTACAAAAATCTAGAAACAGATTTAATAAAATTAATAAACTTATTATTCTATTGAATTTATGACAGCGCCTTTAATCCCTTGACTGTTAAGTACGTCTATAGACGTATTTTCCAAAGTGGGCCCTCACTGTTAGATACGTCTATACACGTACTTACAAAAAACTTAAAAAATAACAAAAAGTAGCAGATATACATCACACTGACGTTATTTAAAGTATTTTGAACGCTGAATTCGAATTTGGGGTCAAAATTTAAAAATTCGAAAACCCAAATCCAATATAGCTTCACAAAAGTCACTTATTTTGAAGTTCACTTGTAACTCGTAACTGCGGTTGTTTTTTGGGTTACTAATTACAAATATGAACTCAATTTCAGTTAAAAATCGTTACTCAGGAGTTTTAAACGTCGCAGAATTCGAATATTATGTTAATTTTTCAAAATTCAAAATGGCGGTTCCAATATGGCGGACGATAAAAATAAAAATTGATCGGATTCACTTGGAAATCGTTATTTGGGAGTTTTAAAGGTCACAATATTCGAATCTGATGTAAGTTTTTCAAAATCCAATATGGCGGATGACAAAATTAAAGTTGATCAGATTTTTTCTTTTTTTAACATTTATGTGAAAAAAATAAAAACCCAAAAAAATAATAAAAAATCTAAAAATACAAAAAAAGTTTTAAAATATAAAATGAGAAGTGTAAAATTCTGCCTCACACCTCCACGTGGTACACTCTGGGGTTGTAGATACCTGTTAAACTATTTACTAGCTAATTGCTAATTTTGAGTTTTGAAAAACTAATATCACATCCGTAATCAGCGACCTTGAAAACCCCCGAGTAACGTGTTTTAATCAAAAACTGACGCATTTAAAAATATACGTCGACCATATAAGATACGCTGTTTTAAATTTTGAAAAGCTAACAGCAGATTCGAAATACGCGACCTCATAAACCCCCGAGTAATAATTTTTAAGCGAATCCGATGAATTTTTAAAAAATCTTCTGCCATATTGCATCCGCCATATTAAATTTCAAAAAACTAACACCAGATTCGTAATCAGCGACCCTAAAAAACCCTCGAGTAACGTGTTTCAAGCAAATCTATTGAATCTAGAAAAATATGTCCGCTATATTGGATCCACCATTTTGAATTTTGAAAAACTAACATCAAATTCGTAATCAGTGACCCCAAAAACTTAAGTTTACACGGTTTCAAAAATTTTGATGGTAAAAAAGTTTCTTTACATTTTGGCCCCACATTTAAAATTTTTCTCCTCACAGCGAAGGGGTTAAGGATTTGCCCAAGTTGTTTAATATAAACAAACATGAAAATGTAAATAAATCATGGAAATTTTTTGGCACTTGTCATTTGAATTGTAGACATTAAAGGCGCCTACAAATAGTTAAAAGAGAAAACTTGATATACGCCTAATTACAGGTAATTTGAACCCATACAACAAACCAAGAGGACGATTTAATATAAACAACAATTAATAAGGAAAATGTGCTTTTCCCTCTGATTGATCATTGCTATGAGAAATATAATGTCAATTTATTATTATTATTATAAAATTAAGCATGTATCAACTGAGTAACATATTAATTAATAAACAAAATATGAAATAAATTAGTTATTTAAAATCACTTCCTAAGTTATGTGACTGAGGTAATTTAAATTAAAAATAAATAATACCTGGAGAAATGGGTAAACAAGAGTCCACAATAAAAATGCAAATACTTAAAGGTAAAAACCGATAAACTATAAACGGAACACCCTTTTTAATAGTTTCAAAACTTAACAGATGTTGTATTTTAGGAATAAACATTTTAAAAGAATAGAAACAAAAAATAAATTTTCAAGACGGAACTATGCAAATAAAAAATAACAGCGAAAAAAATACATTGATACTAGAGACAAACACAGAAAATGAAACCTACAACACCGACAAACAAATAAACAAAATAAAAACTAATACACTGGAAACTCCCAAGAGCGTACGGCATTAGTCTTAGTCCGCTCTAGAGAAAAATGTCCTTGACGGGGAATACTATAAACACTCAGGGCCGTACAATGAATTACTAGTGCTTTTAGCAGAATATATTGTGCATATTATTATAAATATTAATGGATTTTGTTTTTATAATAAAGTATTGTAAGCTGTCGTTTTATAATTAATATTTTTTTGAAAATTTAGTAATTAATAAGCCAATAAAACTGCTTGCAAAGTAACAGTACAGTCAAAGCAGACTCTCCTGCTTTCTTGTTCTGATCCCGTCCATTTCTTCTCTCCTCACTCTTTACCACACCGCTCTGATAGTTTGTCCCAAGAAGACTAGAAAAAGGAGAGCAAAGTACAGTGGTGGGGATGGAAGAGATAGTGTGCCTAACAGTAGGCTGTCCAACGAAATTTTGATACATGACCGTGAGACGAATTTCAGTATTTACGCATACTAACACATGCATATTTTTATATCGTTGATTTGTTTTCCTGTGTTTTTATATTCAGTATTTTTAATCAAAATGAGAAATTTTTAATTAATAGTGTAAATTTTTTAAAGTGAACAACGGGGCGAATTTGTTGTGTTAAGAACTGCAGGAGCAGTTCTTTATGTGCAAGTGAAAATAGTGAAAATAATTATAAGAAACAGATGTTTTCTTTTCCAAAAAATGAGGTTAGTTTTTTTAATTTATTAAAATACAAATATGTTTTCACTGCAGAAAAGGGAATAAATGTTTTATTTCGAATATAATAAGATTGTTTATAATTATCTGTGATTTAATTTTATTAAGTATGTAAATCGGAAATATTAAAGGTTTTTAGGTAAGAATAGAACATATCTATATATATTTATAGTATGCTGAATTACTAAATGAAACAAATATAAATGTTGTTGTAAATGTCAAATTCTAATTTACCATTTTTAATTATTTATTTTATAAGAACGTAAGAAATTGTGGCTGGAAAGTATCGGCGATCACTTGAAAGCAAGAAAAGGTGTAAAGGAAAAGAAACCAAATTTGTTTATTTGTGCTAATCATTTTACAATAGAAAATTTTAAAAATGATACTCAAAAAATATTGAAAGATGGGTGCACAGTATTTATACCATTGAAACGCTTAGTACTAAAAGATGACAGCATTCCATGTATTCTTGAAGAGGTAAGTTGTAGAATTTAATATATTAAATTAATTGAAAATAATTATAAATATATTTAAATTTATTTTATAAATTAGTTATTATGACGAAGGATATTAAAATTAATATAACTGTAGTATAAAATTTTTTAGCTTCAACATCAACCTTCTGATAGGTCAAGGCCTCTGTCAAATAAAACTAATAATAGACGTGAATTGTCTCCTGCTTCGGCTCATCAAGTTTCTGTTGCTAATGAAATTATTTTCATTCAGAAATCAAATCCTGTTAAGGTTGATAATTTCTCTGCTTCGGGTCCAACAGCAGACGGAACTAAAGTAACATATGAAATAAATAACCTCTTAAACGATTGGAATTCACGAAACACAGAAACTTTTCCATCAAATTGGGGAATTAATGATGATATCGAGCAGGGCGTTTTATTTATGTATTGTGGAGATGTTCTTCTCAAAGTAACTAGGCAAATTTTAGTATGAAAAGATATAAGCATTGAAGTAAGTTAATTTAAAATTTATTTCGTTAAAATTATAATTATGATGTTCAATTTAAATGAGTTAATATAATTTTTAAATTAGAACTCACAATTATGTCTCTAATTTTTTCATCGTGGAAAAAATTACATGCCTTGAGAATTTGCGTTCAGCAATGACTATAATCACAAGTTTAAAGTTGTGCGCAAGAGCATGGCAGGGATTGTGTAAAAACAGCTTCTTTGTGCAGAAACCATTTTGTAACACAGATTATTGTAGAGATTGCCAAATAAAAAGACGCCTGGAGAAATGAAAAGAAAGATCGAAGGAATTGCGGTTGACAGCAAAAAGATTGAAGAAAAAAAAAGCAATAACAAATATTAAAAAGAAATATTCATGATGTGTAAAGAAGGTAAAAATTATAATTAGTATATGTATATATAATTAGTATACTTATTCATGTTAAGGTAAATCTCAACAATATTCATTTCAGATTAAATCCCTAAAAAATCATGTCGAAGATTTAATGGATCGTTGCAGCTCATCTGAAGAACAAGTAGTAGAAAAAGCAATAAAAGATTTTCCTATTCAAATGCAGGAGGTTGTACGCCATATGCTAATATATGTGAAAATGAAGGATAAACGAGGAATGAGGTATACCAAGCGATGGATGCTTGAAAGCATACTTCTTAGTATCAAAAGCAAAAAAGCATATTTACACTTGCGCAGCCATAACATTTTACCACTTCCCACGTTAACATTAAAAAAATATTTAAAAAATTTAAAACCGGAATGTGGATTTGATCCACATGTTTTTCGTATGCTAAAAAAAGTGATGCAATGAAACCCGAAGAAAAAAGAGGTAAAATATTATACCATTTTTCTTTGAAATGTCAGTAATGAAAAAAGTTATCGTTACTTACAATTAATAATCTAAAAAATAAAATTGTTTAGGCGTTCTTGTTTTAGACGAAATGTCTATAAGTGAAGGAATTCATTTCAATACCCAAAATTTGTCGGTCATGGGTTTTACCGATTTAGGAGACTACACACCAGAACACCAAAAAACGGAGCGAGCTGATCACGCTTTAGTGTGGATGTATCAACCGTTTCGAGGACAGTGGATACAAAACATTGCTGCATTCCTGAGTAAGGGTGCAGCAAATGGCGAGGTTTTAAGTCATTTAGTTACGGAATGCATAGTTTTGTTACAAAACCACGGTTTTTCTGTTGATGTGGTAACCACTGATGGAGGATCGTGGAATCGAGGTATGTGGAAGCAGTTTGGCTTAAAAGAATTAGAGGCAAGTTGTATTCACCCTTGAATAGAAAATTGCGATTCTCTTGATGAAAATCTTGTTGCAGTCCGTCGTTTATGGTTTTGTAGCGACTTTTCCCACTTGCTTAAAAACTTGCGCAATTTCATTATGTCTAAGAAGGAAATAATGGTAAGAATTGTTAATATACATTCAGCTACAATATAGCATTATACATTACAATTCTATTTTTTGTATTACAGACCCCTGATGGTATATTTAAAAAAGAACACTTCCGAGCTGTGATACGGTGCGATGGAGGACCAAAAAATTTAGGATAAAATATAGCCTATATATTAACACCTGATCACATTGATCCAAAATTTTATCAAAAGATGCATGTCAATAAAGCAGCTGATATAAGATGATTATTACTATTATTATTATTATTATTCTATATTTGGTGATAATATACAATTTAATATTATTGAGAATAAAATAAAATAGAATTAAATTATTATACATTAGGTGATAATCTAAAATTCAATAGTAAAGAAGATGTAGTAAAATAACAATTTTGTGTTTCTAGGTCTTCTCTGCCAACGTTATTGCTGCAATGGAAATATACAAAACTCAAGATACAGCGCTGAAAGATTCTGAATCCACAGTTAAATTTTTGCACCTTATCTGCAACCTTTTAACAAGTACGACATCGAGAAGTTCATATAACGCTCTAAAAATTGATAACACGCATTACCACGTAAGTATTAATCAATATTAATTATACATTCACTGCACGATACAAAAGGTATAATAATCCTTATTAATTATCATAGAGTATCATCGAATCCCGAGAATATATTCGACAATGGAAAAAACTGACAGAAGAAAATAACTATGTCTTTATGTCAGACAACACTTATGTTAGTTTTATTGTGACACCAACAACAGTCATCGAGGTCCTGGAGTTCTTGCTCCAAAAATGGAATTATGAATTTTTAATGACTGCGAGACTGAACCAGGATACTTTCAAGGTATGTCATTTTAAATCTAATATAATATCATAACTCTGAAAAATAATTCAGTAAGGTTGTTTTTTGCTATAATATATATATTTTTTTAAAGGGTATGTTTGGAATGATTCGTGGTTGCTGTGGTGCCTTTGATAATCCAGATCCACTACTCTTTATACAAGTATATAAACTATTAACATTTTATTCACTAGTTAAACCTCCGAAGGGGTCTACTGTAGAAGGCTTAGAAGTTTTTGAAACGCTGCTTAATGAAAAGGATACAGCCGTTAATGAAAATATCAAGCAGATGTCAGAAACATTGAATAAAATAATCGAACGTGGTGAGAACAACAATGAACAATACAGTGTAAAGCGTGTCCATGATTACAATGTTGTTAGCGTAAATCAATTTGTCCAGGCTTATTTTTCAGGATTCTTATGTAAAAAAGTTGAAACTTGGACGAATTGTATAAATTGTCTCTCAACAATAACAAAGACCGAAGGCAACTTGGAAAGAGATGGCATGATAAATAAATTGACCAAGGGTTATTTAAAATATCCCTCTGAAAAAATGTTCAATTTATTAAGCAAGCTGGATCTTGCAATATTGCAGACAGTTGGTGAAGAACTACTAAATTATTATACATATAATACGTATAATATACGTATAATGAAGCAAGAAAAGAAGAAAAGAAATTAAGAAAAATGTCCAAGTTGGTTGGGAAAAAAGAAAATATTAATAAAGTAAAAAAAATGATAATATTGGGTTTCGAAAAGTAGAAAATAAGGTCGAAAAAGCGACTAAAGTCAAAGAAGCCAGTAAAGTGAAAAAAGCTAGTGAAGCGAAAAAAAACAGTCAAGTGAAAAAAGCCAGTAAAGTGAAAAAAACAATTGAACTAGTATTTAAGGCCAGGTTCAAGTCGTGTCAGCTGTTCTATTGAAACTTCAAAGGAACAGCTGACTCGACTTGGACCTGGCCTTAAGGAAACGATTTTTTAAAAAATTAAACAATAATTTCTATTTGAAAAGTTTATATTTTATTTATATTATAAAACTTTTATTACAATATTTCAAAGTTATTATCATAGATATTTTATTGTTATACATTTTATCAATTTTAATACAATATTTGTTACTTACATTATAACATTGTGTACATTACATGAGTTGTAGAAAATGCTTATTTTATATTGCAAATGTACAAAAAAATCATCATTAATCTGATATATTTAAAATTATAGTTTTGTTAATAAATCGTATATAGCAAAAAAAATATGTGTTTATAAATCAATCAATCCATCATACATTATAATTCATTAATTAATACCCATCGAAATAGATCGGAACTTAAAATAACAATAATTCATAATAGATAAAAATCACACACTTTATATGAAATCTAACCTTAGAATCAGGTTTAGAAATAATTATAGATTTAAATTGATTATAAATTCAATTTAAAATTTGATCATTAATTGTATTTAAAAAAAAAATCATTATAAACTTACGTGAATAACATTGAATCTCAAATATATCAATTCATTACAAAAACTATCTATCGTCCATGTACATTGTACCAGAGCGAAAGACTTTGTCAAATATTTGTAGAAAATCTTCAATATCTTTCTCTGCTTGAACCTTGTCACATTCCATCCAATTAATTATTTTACAATGATAGTAAGCATTCATAATCAAATCTGAAGTCAGAGAAACTGATAGATATGATTCAAAATCTTTCTCAATTTTAAAAAACATTATTCTATTAGATAGACATATCACTGATGACCATTTTTTGTTTGGTAGTTTCAAGTTGTTAACGTTTTTTACAATATTGTTGTGAGTAAACTCCATTTTATTTTCATCCAAACTATTCTCACTATCACCAATTGTTGTTTTTGTGAGTTCCTTTTTTGATATCATACTGTAAAAATAACATAATAAGTAAATAGCCAAAATTTCTTTCTTTCCCATACAACACGTAAATAAAAATATAATTGTAATGTTCCAGAAGAAAGAAATATATGAAGAAAAACATTTTAAATTATATTTACTGTTCGTTTCACCTTTATTAAACGTTAATTTTAAATAAGGTAAAATTCAAATCAATTTTTGTTCATACATTTTAACTAACAAATTTTGTAAATATAACCTAAAATTTTCTTTTTCCTTTTTTGGTACCTTTCACAGTGGAGCTTTACAATTTTTATTATAAGAAAATAATACCTTTCAAACCAGATGCGATCTTCTTTTCACTGAATACTTTATTTATTAAATACACAATCTTCGTATAATTATACGAGGACAAAATATTAAAAACACGAGTTGACGTAAGTTGCTCACAATTATAAGTCGTAAGCAGCTGTTTGCGCTGTTCACTGACATGTATGTGTTAGTATGCGCAGATACTAAAATTCGTCTCACAGTCATCTATCAAATTTCGTTGTACAGCCTACCGCAGTGCCAATATCTGCTCCCCCTATACACTGTACAATTTGAGCTTAGTTCACTCTCCTTGTTCTAGTCTTCTTGGTTCGTCCGCTCTCGGGAAGACCGCTCTTGAGAGTTTCCAGTGTACAGATGAACTCACAGATATTAAAATACAGAATACCTTAAATGATTGTAATCTAATTCAACAAAGTGACACATAAAAAGGTATACAACCCCTTAAAAACAAAATTAATAAATTTTATAGCCTCAACCCTGTAAAATGAAAAGAGCTATTATTAAGGGTAAAAATTCCCGAAGTGACCTCCTAATTATTTTTGGGTAAGAAAAAAAATTACTATATATATATTTTGGTAGTCCATTATGTCTTTTTTGCATCGATTTAGAAAAAATTGAATATCTTGAAATTGGCTGAACCGATTTCAAAAAAAATTGGTATGGTGAAATATTCGGAAACGTACTTTTGTTAAATGTATAGAATATAAATAAAAAGTATAATTTGTTTAAACAAATTACAGTATTTTTTGTTAATTTTATAAATAAACAATGTTCTCAATCGGTTTTGTCAACTTTTTTTATAGAATCATGAAGAGAGACTTTTCATGATTCATAAAAAAAGTGGGATTCTCTTAAACTTTAGAAGTTACGGAATTTTTAGTCTCAACGCGCACAAGTTATCTGAGTAGCTCATGGTGCGGCGCACAGTGGGACGAAAAACACGGCCGTGGACAAATTAACATAGAGCCTACAAATTTCAACCGGGTACCTTTTGCATTTTCAAATTGTTTTTTTCGTAAATTTTAAAATCGTACCGACCTAAGGTTTTTTGACATCTCAAATTTATCCATATAAAGTGTTTTAATATTATTTATAATGTACCTTTTTTATTTATTTATTCGGAAATAATAAAAAAAGTTTCTTCACCCTTAAAAGGCGGACAAGGTACCCGGGTACATCTGTACCTTTCATGCAGATAAATGTAGAAATTTCTATTAAAAAATTATGAAAAATTACATAAAACAATTTTTTTTTAATTTTTATAGTAATGCACATATTTTTTTTATAAAATATGTAATTTAGTAACTATAGTTAAATAATAATATTCATAAAAAATCGTCAGTTTCTAATTTAAAAATTACCGTAAGAATGAAGTTTGAATAGAATTAATTTGTATTAAAAATGAATTTTAAATAATAAAAAATAAATTTTTTACATTTTTATATTTGATTTCATAAATAATCTGCCTAAATATGTACCTGTTTTGCAATCTAGCAAATATTATATACACGGATACTATTCAATGTAAGATCAATGAAATTGTGAATATATACAAAATACTTAATACGTAATGGACAGTTTTTTAATAATCAACTAATAATGATAATTTTTTATAAGCAAAAAGAAAATCTTATTTTAAGATGAGTCTTAAAATCAGCGCTAGTAGCTGTAATGGAAATTGCATTGCGTAAATTCAGCAAAGCTGCCTTAAGAATGTTGCATCTTAAAGGGGGCGCCTACTATATTGAAAGTCAAAAAATGTGTAAATTTCAGGAATTTTTTTCTCAAACGCATTGAAATAAATTGATACGAGTTTTTTGTGGATGTTTTCTTATATATTTAAACCTTCGAAATATAATTTTTTTATTGAAAAAAAAAAAAATTAAAAATAAAATTTAATAATAAAATAAACGTCATATACTCGCTGCTGAAATTTTCCGATTGCATCTAATCTAGGGTCCACAATTCTTATCAAAAAAAAAAAAAAAATTTTTTCTTCGGATATACTTCCGAAGTAGGGGTACCTCCGATTTTAATAAAACTTGATATACTATTGTATTTTGGTGCGCTGATTACGAAAATGATAGTGAAAATTGGCGCAAATTTGATTATCATGGTAAATACCATAAAAAACATCATAAAATCACGGTTTTTGCGATTTTCTTGTAAAAAACGCAAAATTTCAAAGAAAGTTTTAGACAAAAGTTGTAGATCTCAAAAAAACACACATTGTATGTTTTATGCATTTCTTACCAAAAGTCATTATTTTTCGAGAAAAATCCAAAAAACGATCAAAACCGCCACAAAATAATGGAAAAATAGTAACTAGCGAGGAATTTGGTAATTGTAAGTATACTAACGTATTTTGGCGCGCTGATTACGAAAATGATAGTGAAAATTAGCGCAAATTTGATTATCATGGTAAAAACCATAAAAGACACCATATAATCATGGTTTTTTGCGATAAACGCAAAATAGTAAACACGGCCTTCAACTGCGTAAGGTACTGCTCGCTTTTATTTTTAATAAATCTTGGCGAGAGGTGGTGGATGTGTACGAAAGTAATTTGCGGAAATTGTGGGGTGAAGTCTACAGCAGCGGTAAACGCAAAATAGTAAATAGTAAGGTACTCCTCGCTTTTTTTTAAAGAAATCTTGGCGAGAGGTGGTGGATGTGTCCGAAAGTAATTTGCGGGAATTGTAGGGTAGAGTCTACAGCACCGGTAAACGCAAAATAGTAAACACGGCCTTCCACCGCGTAAGGTACTGCTCGCTTCTCTTTTTAATAATCTTGGCGAGAGGGGGTGGATTTGTCCGAAAGTATTTTGCGGAAATTATGGGGTGGAGTCTACAGCAGCGGTAAACGCAAAATAGTAAATAGTAAGGTACTCCTCGCTTTTTTTTAAAGAAATCTTGGCGAGAGGGGGTGAATATAACCAAAAGTATTTTGCGGAATTCGTTGGATCCTGAGTAATGGTGAATATGATACTATATACGAGTCAAATAATATGTCTAACCATGACTCTTGTATATGTTTTCATTATCATGGTGTTTTTGGTTTTTTGGATTTTTCTCGAAAAATAATGAGTTTTGGTAAAAAATGCATAAAACATAAAATGTGTGTTTTTTTGAGATCTACAACTTTTGTCTAAAACTTTTTTCGAAGTTTTGGGTTTTCTACGAGATAATCGCAAAAAATAACATTTTTTTTTAATGTCGAATTTATCATTTTGGTTTAAGAAAAAGTAAGTTTTTTTTGGTGAAAATTAAATTTTTTTTTAAAGTCATGTGAATTTTTTAATTTTCTCTTTCTATCGAAATCTTTTAATTTATATAGAAAGTAATAACGTACGATCGAAGAAAAAATTTTGTTTTTGATAAGAATTGTGGACCCTAGATTGGGAAAATGCAATGAGAAAATTTCAGCAGCAAGGCGTTAAATATATGACATTTATTTTATTATTAAATTTTATTTTTTTTAATGAAAAAATTATTGCTTTTACAGTGTATTCATATTATGTGATTATTTCTTTCATTGAAACGTCAACTACATTTAAAGTTAATTGAACTGCTTATTTTAATACAAAATCTTCAATAAATTAAACATAGGTACCCGGGTGCCTCGTCCGCCCATAGAAGGTGTTTTTTTCCTCAATCCCATAAAGGTTAATAAATTTTTTAAAAACCGATTAATTGCAAATAGCTTGATTTTAACTTTTAGTAATTGAAAGCCACATAATTTTTTGTATTTGAGATTTAAAAGCAATTACCAGTTCAGTAATTATTATAAACTTATTATTTTTAATTTACAGAATTGAGCCGCTGTATTCTAAAAGGGCACGTAAATTTTTTCGGCCGGAAAACAAAGTCTCCTAGACTTGACTACCTACCTTGACTAATAATAGTGCGAATTTCGCTCAATATATCATTAATTTCGTAATTAGGAACTGAAGTCGATAATATTGTTTATGAAAATTGTTTAAGGGGTTACGTCACCGTGAACGCCTGAAAATTGGAAGGTATTTTAAAAATAAATTTTGACAAAACTATTAAGAATACAATTTTTTAATAATTACCACGAACGTCAAAATCGGTTAAAATTTGTAGGCTCTATGTTAATTTGATCACGGCCGTGTTTTTCGTCCCACTGTGCGCCTCGCCATGAGCTATTTTAAAAAAAAGTATTCTCTAATACTAATTTTTATTTTTTTTAAATGTATTACTAATAAAGATTAATTTAAAAAAAAAATTTGTAATAAAAATCAATTTCTAAATTTTGTAATTTTAAATTTCTACCAATAATTGTAAATTACTATCGAAATTCAGTTTGAAATTATAGAAATCGTTTTTCGTTGTTCGTGTATAACGTCGGAAGAATCTTATTAGTTATTTTCTTGTAATCAAAAACATTAAAAATTATCTTGTGAAAATGGAACATATTGTGAAATTTTATGATTTAAAAAGGAATAGAGAAAAATAGTTATGGAATTAATAGATTGGGTTAGTTATAATTGGCACGGTGGGTTTAAACAGATTATTATGAAAAGTTAAAATAACCACGATTTTCTTTCGGGATTGTATTCTAGGACAAAGAAGAAGATATTCCAAGGCAGAATCAAAATCATCCATCGGACCCTTTTTGAGAAATTTGATTTTTTCTTTAAAATCGCGTAATTTCTCAGTTTAGAATATTTTCATGCAAATAAGACAGGGCTACATAATTTTTTCCCCCTTAATACCGGTATGGTTTCTAATATACTTTGAGGTTCTGAAAACGATCCCGGGTTCCAAAATTGTCTAGCACGTCAAGATTTTGAAAAAAGTGAGCGTACATTTTTCAAAAACGTGAATTTGGGTTGAGCAATATCCTTTTCTCTATATGACGAGTTACAGACTTTAAAAAGTCTTAAATTGAAGGTTGAATCATACAATACACGATCAATATGCGCAAGACAAAAATAAAAATTTTTTGAATAAAACATTGTTATAAAAAAAAATATTATTCTTTAGGTGCTTTTATAAATTTCCTATTTTTTATCTAAGATGGTAGCTAAAATTAACTTTAAATTGAAACTTAAACCAGGTGGCCTCTAGAAAGGGTGAAAAAAATTACCTGA